TTTTTCATGTGAAGTGGTAGTAGCTGCAACGCAAACACTGGGGCCAGTCCAGTTCCCATCACTGCTGACAGCAAATGTTTGTTGGCTTTGTTAAGCTCCAACTGGACACTTTTTGATGCACATGGCTGTTTTTGATACCATGTGTTTTGAATTTTTGCATTCTTCATGGAGGCTTCTGTCTGCTTCAACCTCCACCCTTCCAACATACAAGAAAGATAAAACAAAAATAGTACTGACTCTTCAAGTCCATCCCTCTGGCTATTTCCCTTAGCAAAGTGCTGATGCTGCTGCACTTCTGCCATTCTTCCTCCAGTAACTCAGTTGTTGCCAAGGCAGTTATTGTTATCAGGACACAGGTTTGGCCCAGGTACATTCTCCTCCTGCTGTACGTGCCTTAACACAACGACCCATAAATGACAGACCTAGAAGGAAGTTTTTTTTCCAATAGCCCTTTTCTGGGTTTCTCTGTGCTCTCACTGGCTCTGCTCACTGTCCCATCACTTGGAGCATCCTTGGGATGCAATGGGAGCCAGGCTCCCTCCAGCCCTTCTTACATCAGGATGAAGCAACAGTACTTCACATCCATTGGCATTTCAAGCGTTAATCCAGTCCACAAAACCGAGATGATTTTTTTTTTTTTTTGAGAATCATTTGGCCTTTTTTTTTTTTTTTTTTTTTGTGCGCTGTTAACTGACATCTGAATGGGAGATATGAATATAGAAATTATTCCTTGCTGAAAGCTGCAGAAAAGCCACAACCCTCAGATCAAACAAGTTTTTTGTGCCACAGCAAAATTAAATCCTTGTGATTTCCATATTCTTCAGTCAACAGGCTGGCGCCCAGCTCGTTGCTATAGCTACATGAGCATGGGCTGTCAGGAGCAGGGAGCCGCGCTGTCCGAGGGTTAAGTAGCTGCTTAATTATTCAGCCCAATATCTGGCAAGCACTTCACATTGACAAAGGGGGGTCTCCTGTGATCTCCGTCAGGATGGATCACTTTAACCATTTCTCCTTCCTCCAAACCCAGAACGGGTAGCAGCTCCCTGATGAAGGGACAAATAGGATTGCTTAGCTTTGTGTTTATTCCCACCTGTTTTGCTGATTTTCCTCTGTCAAACTTGCTGGATGCTCCATGGGACTCGGTAAGTATGCACTGAGCACCACAAAGCAGGAGAGCACACCTGTGCCTCAGTTTCCCCAGCTGCAGCGGGAAGCGATGCCATGTGGCAGCAGCCTTTGCTGCAGGGACCCCAGTACTGGAACGCATTGCCCTGTCCTGGGCTGCTCCATTTCTGCACAGGAACGTGCCCCAGTGGCATTAATCCTCCTACAGCACACACGTTGCTTGGCACCAAGGCTGCTGGAGAAGTGCAAAGTGCAGCTGCAGAGCATGGTTGCGCAAGGCAGGCTGAGCAGAAGGGGGTGATGTGAGCTGACTCGAGAGCCTCCCCGCCATGGATTTCCTCAGCTCTGCATGTACGGTGTATTGGGAACGTAGGCTGCTTTCCTTCCAATGGAACAAAACAATGAAAATACTTGGAAGAAGAACAACTATGCTGGTCAAGACTCTCTCATTAAGGAGGGCTGTGTTTTCGGATGACTCTCTCTCTTTTCAGCTCTCCCTTGTTATTTAACTCTGGAGAAACCTGGGCTCTTTCTTGCTCATACAAACTTGAGGGCTTTTTCTTTCTGGAAATCATATTAAAAGTGTAGCCTGACCAAGGTCCTTTGCCAAACTGATTATTGTGCTGTCCTGCAATCTGAAAACACTGGGGGTAAGGTAAGGTAACAGTGCAAAATCCACCACTTAGTCATTGCTGGACGCAAACCACTGCATTGGTTATCACAGAAATATGCTGAAAGTGGATGCTGAGAGCCCCTGGGGGTCTGAGTACCTGGCCGGTGCCAACAAAAAGAGACAGATTAATGAGCTCTATGGCCAGTTGCTTCTGTACTCTTTTCTTAACCTTTATTTTCCAGAGGACTTCCAGACAGATAAAGGACAGCGCCTGGTTAATCATTTATCCATCTGCATATCCAGCTTCTCTTTTCTTTCTCTTCCCTGGCCTCAGAGGAAAAATTAACGTATTTCTTTTCTGGTTTCTCCCCCACAATCCTACGGAAGCAATTTTGGTCACAATAGGAAATCATGTCCCATCCAATTCAGTTTAAAAAAATACAGAAAAAAGGAAAAAAGGAAGCACGCTAGAGTGATTGGAAAGGTCTGCAGAGGAGAGGGTGCTCCAGCGGCCCTGGCCTGCCTTGAAATGGTTTCTGCTCCAGCGTATTTTTAGCTACTGTCACTGATCTGCTTGAGGTTCATGTTGCATTGCTGAAAAGCTCACTTGCTCCAGTGCAGACCTCCAAGCTAGAGAGCTTTTGACCGCGGATTTTCATCTGCATGGTTTGCTATTGTCATGGGCCAAATAGTGGAGCTTTTCCTCAGCCTTTATTCAGAGAGCAGAGTCCCATTGGATTGGCTGCCTGACTCATCTCTGGGCACTTTCTCCCGAGCCCTTTGCTCTGTCGGCCTCTCACCACCACCCCTGCTTTGCCATGGGGTGCTTTGTCCTGGCCATGCACTGGCTCCAGGCTTGCCTGCAGCCTTAAGCCCTCACTCTTCAGTGATGAAGGAGTTGCACTGGGAGAGTGGAGGCAAGTTCTCATCTATCCTATGCCAGCATGTGGCATTCAACCATGCTGTGCCTCAGTTTCCCCATCTTTACCCTACAGAAGCTGTCTTTCTGTTGTCAGTTCATGTAATTATATTTAGTAAATAGTCTTCATTCTATAGCAGCATGGCACTGCAACACTCCCCATATAACATATCCTTTCTCTCTGCGTTTTCTTGAAAACCCATGTCCCAGAATGATCATGAAACATTCCAAGAAGAAATGCCAATAATTTTCTAGTAAATGTCTTGGTTTTTTTTTTTTTTTTTTTTTTTTTTTTGCTGTAACTTCTGAAAATGAGCCACCATTTACAATCTTTATTGAGTCTACAAAGCTGAGTTGGATTTCAGTGGCTTCTGTTTTCTTGGGAAGTCTGACAAAGCTCTGTCTAATTTCAGTCCACAGACCACGGTGGGATTGTCTGCTGTGAAGTTAAAGAGAGCAGATACTCATGCAGTAACATCTAATTCACCTGATAGCCTTGGTGGGCATCAGAATCCTTAGAAATTACCCAGGGGTCAGGGGATATTTATGTAATAACAGGGAACTTTGATTCAAAAAGCAGAAGTGGTACAGGTCACATGCAAACATCTCCAAAAGTCTTCCCATAGCTACCTGTGCACTGCTTCACTTTGCTTTGGTTGGTGGCTTCTCTTCGGATCTTGGTGACATGGGTGTTTTCAGAGTGATTTACTGGGCTTCAGCTGAGCTCTGTCAGCTGTGCTTCATTTGGTCTCGCTTAGGACCCAAATAAAATGACATTTTCATTCAGGATGTTGGTAGCAGGAAAGGTGATGGGATTATGGTGACCCTGGTGAATCCATGTGCTTCTTGTGCATCAGCAAAGGTGGAACCAGGCAGTTACTTTGTTCTGTGTTTTACCATTTTTAAAGTGACTCTAGTTTTGGGTTTATTGCAACCTAAACTCAGAGCTGTGAGAAGCCTCAATTACAGAGGTTGGGCAAAAACACTGCCTGCCAGGAATTGGGTTCTTTCTGAGGTTTTTACTGAGCATTGGATTTGCTGATAGCACCAATTCCTGCATTTTCTCCGATCCCAACCCCAGTGCCCACGTAGTTTTCTATGCCAGAAACACAACCAGCCCTTTGGCAGCACTTAAAACCTTTCTAAGGCAAATGTATGTCTCCCGGTGGCACAACAACAGCTTGCAAGGTGACCAACACCACCTTGGTATCTCCAGATCAGCTGCTGGGACCACCACGAAGGACAAGATCTCACATCCAAATCTCTGTCATTTCTCCCTTGTCTGCCAGCACAGGCTTTTTCCTATGGCACCTCAGGCTGTGAAGGTGCCTCAGCCAACCACTCACAGAATGTTTGAGTTCACACTTTGGTTGGAAAAAACAGCATCACTTAAGGAGGGAGGCAAAAGCCCTCCTCCTTTAAGAGGAGAAGCCAGACGAACAGGCCCACAAGCACTACAGCATGTGGCTGTGTTGAGATTAATTTGCTTAATTGTTGCACGCTGTTAGCAACAGTTACCATGTTTACCAGTTGAGTCAGTAATGCTTGTTAAAACTCCAATTCAAAGGACCTCATGTAATAAAAAAACAGCCTCGGAATGGTCTTTCACATTAGCTACTGTTGCTTTGCTACAGCAAACATACATAACTCAGCCTTCTGCACCAAGCCCACTCCTGCTCCAAGACATCTCCACCCTTGACAGACAAGGTATTTCAAACTCCATGTTTTGAGAAGTGTGATGTTTTCTCCCCCTTCCAAGTGTTATCTCTGCAGGTTGTTTCCCTACCCATTGCCTTGGCAATGAAGGCAGCCATACAGCATCACAGAGGATCATCCCTGCTGAGGATTAATTCGGCTCCAGGGAAATGTAGTTTAAACTTCATTATCACCTTGATTCAACCTGGCTTTCAAGGATCTCCACTGTTGTAGGGAACAGCAATGACAGATAACCAGCTCTAAATTACCCCCAAAAGAGACAATGGTCACAATCCAGTTAAAGAAAAAAAGAAAGATTTACTTCTCTGCCCCAAGAATCAGGGCTCACCAAATACTCCCAGAGAAGGGCTCTCCAGCTAAAGAACCTTCCTTAGGGGCAGCCAGTGCTTACATAAAGCTTAGGGAGGGGTGAAAACTGGTTCCACCCCTTCCAGACACGCAGGTGAATTGCTGAATGGGAGCTGCTAAGTCACAGCCTGAACCACTGATTGAGCACCTGGGGAAAGGACCGGCTCAACCCTGGGAGCACAGGTGAAGGCAATTCAGCTGTGTGACTGGAAGGGGTGGAGCCTGCCTGCGGACAACCTGAAACAAAGGAGATAAGATTGGAAATTTCTCTGGTGATTAGAAATGGCTCAGAGCAAAGGCAATGCCACAGGACCTGCAGCATCCTTCCAATGCAGCACTCAGAGCACAATGGGCTGCTGGTCAGGTGTGTACACTTTTCTGTTTGAATGACAATTGTTTCTGTGGGATCTGAGGGATGTTTTTCAGATGGAGAAAGTACTTCTTGTATTGGATTGTCAGGGAGTCAGGAACTACATTAATAACCCCCCACAGACCTCATAAAATCAGAGGGATGCTGCCAAAGGAAAAAGACTGCGCGAAGTTTACAGTTGCAAGAAGACTGGAGGACAAATCAAAGCTTATGATGCAATTTTGTGTGAATAAGGTCAGAACATTTTGTTTTGGCTGCATGAGTGGGACTTTCACAATGAGATGCAATGTTGAAATATTTTGACTATTTTTTGGTGAAGGAGGTAAATCTCAGTATCCAATTTCTCCATGACTTCCTGCTGATCTAAAGGGTGACTGAAACATTCTATTCCCATGAGGAATGGGTGAAGTTGCACTGTCACTCCCAGCTCTACCTGAGAAGAGATATTGATTTTGAATCCACTCTGTTCTCAGAGAAAATTGAGTGCTCCTTAAGCTCTGTCACTGATGGCCGCTCCATTGCTGTGTGCAACTAATGCTTCCTAAAGGCATTATTTAATCCGTGTTCATGACTGGGATAACACGATCTGGATGGGATGGTGAAAGTGGTGTCCTCAGGAGAGGAAGAGAAGGTCAATTCATAGGAAGCTCTTAATAGAAAAACTCTCCATAGGAAGCTGTTTGTGCAGAAGAGAAAATCCCTGCTCCTCGATGGGTGGAAGAGGAGGAGCTGTTATCACGTCTCTGGAGTCTTATCAAGAGGGATTAAAGTATAGCTGGGCATTCACAGGGAATCCAGGCTTCCAGTTCGCATAGCCAGTTTTTTGGGGTCTTTTCACAAGCAATGACCAACTTATATATTAATGTGCCTGGATGTCCTACTCTGCCTTCCACACAGAATGGACATACCTCTCTGAAGGAGATGAAGACACAGCTCCAGGGCAGGCAAATCCTGAACATGGAGCTGCTCAGCCATGCATCACAGTGGGGAACTGATGGAAGAAATGAATGTGCTTCTTCACTCAGCAGTATGACTTATAACTCAGGAGGGAAAAATGAGCTCATGAGGACAGCCTGTTTCACCTTCTCTCCCACTCCTCATGGGTATAGAGATGGGTAGGAGAGTCAAAAGCTGCCAAAAGCATCAGCCAGAGGAGAACTGACAGGCTAGCAGCTCGTTATTACTCATCCTGGTGATTTTATGTCACACTTTTCACTAAGTGCTCTGATAAACATGCTCTAATTCCTTCAGTGCCTCTTGCAGCTCGAGTTTGAAGCAGTGGGATGACAGGAAGATTGAGGCTTTGCAGAAGGGCATTTGGGTCGGAGCCTCAGCTAGTGCAAGTCTTCCTGGTTGTGGGATTTCTGCATCCCTTTTCAGAACCAAAGCTGGTAAGCATCTTTTGAAGTGCAGATGTCTTGGAAAAGCAGTGATACACAATTCTATTTAAATGAGAGTAATAAAAGGAAAACAAATTTAGGAAATATATGTAAACCATCCCTAATCGCAACCAGGAAATCAACTTTGCTAGAGTGGGGCTGAGCGTGTGTCTAATCTGGGCTCGGGTGAGGAACAGAAGAAATGTAGAAGGAATCAATTTTTACTATGTTATGCTGAGCCTCTCACTGACAGACACAAGCCAGCTGTCAGCATCAGCACTTAAAGCATAACTTGACCAAACTGCCCTCAACTGAGGGAGCAAGATCAATTGGGGCATGTGCATGGCTCCAGGAAGCTTCATCCTCTTGGAAACAAGAAGCAAGTGAGGGTGGCATTAGTGGCATGGTGCGTGTAACCAAAAGGATGTCCTCAATATGAGTGTGCTTGGTGTTGGAAATCTTTTAGAATAACCTTCTGATTCTTCTCCCTTTGGTACCACCTCATTTGATGGCAAGATTGAGCTCTGGATCTTCCAGTCTGACCTCTGGTTAGATTCTTCATCCTCTCATGCAACAGTCGCCCTAGTGAATGCAGGATGCTCTCTCATCGACTCTTCTCTTGCTTGTTCCTCTTCATCTCAAGCCTTTACAATCTTCAGAAAGAGCAGAATGGAAAGAGCCCATACATTGTGGCTGCTAATAGGATCTCCAGAAAGTGCCAGGGCACCGCATTTGAGATATTGCTGTGATAGTGCCAGCAAAGTGACAGAATCCAAAGCAACCAGTGTGTGATAAAACCTGAAGCATTTAGCATACATCATGGCTTGGAAAAATGATTTGGTCAGAAAGTCTTCAAATTACTGTACGGTCTCAGAACAACAGAAAGAGCAAGAAGCTTGCTCTGAAAGCGGGGATCTAGTTCAGATATATTCTACATGGCTATAGGCACTCACACATATATAACCGTTGAGATCAGCACCGGATGGTGTTTTTTATTTAGTTTCATGCTTTGTTAACTTCTCTAAATTATGTGGAACGCTTTTTTTTTTTTTTTAATACCCAAACTTCTGCCTGTTCCCAATTACCAAAAGAGAAGAAGAAGGGGAAAAAAAAAAAGAGGAAAAAAGAGCTGAGTCTGTGGAGCAAGCTGGCACCACTACGAAGCAATCTCCAACTACACAATGCATCCTTCTTGCAGGAACTATCAGAGGCAAGTTGGGGACTGGAGAGATGGAGGAGTTAAGGCACATGGTGGTAGGCTGCAGGGAAGACACTGACAGAGATTGAAAGAGGTCTTGAGCATTTCTAAAGCCCTGAAGGAAGTGTCAGAGAGATTTTGATGATACTCATCCCTGCCTTCTGGTTTGGGTACTCGGAGGACTTATATTAACTCAAAAATGCAGAAAGAAAATCTGCAGTGCTCCTTTTGAGTTGTCTGCTAAATCTTAATAGATACAAACCAAAGCCTGGGACTCTGTCTGAGGCTCACCTCTAACGGATCAACTGCAGCTAACCAGAACCTTGGGTGAATCTGGACATGCAGTTTGTTCTGCTATTGGGTCTTTATCCAGTGTTCAAGGTTGCTTTTTGATATGACAATTGAAGATAGTTTTTATTCAATTATTGCATTAGTGGGAGTCTGAAGCAGGCTCATGATCACCAGGGTTATTGCTGTATGAGTTAATGTTCACACCCCTTTTGGGTGTCCCAGAGGAGTGCTGCAGGCTTATGGCCAAATTTTATTTTGACTTGGATCCCAGTGTGCAAGCCAACTGTTTCTGCATTTCATTTCTGTCATATCCTGTACATTAAAACACCATTAATTCAAACCTTTTGTTTCTAAGAACAACTGTGCTGTAAAACAGCAATAAAAAGCTGCCAAAGTTCTCTTAAACCAGTGTAATATGTTCATTCATGCAAACTGGGACATAAAAAATAAAAAAAAAAATACAAACACACTTTTGTCAAAAGCATACTACAAACAGTATTTCTTTCCTCCTCAGCTTTGCGAGAAGATGAGGGGATCAGTCCAAGAGCAGGTTTCTCCCCATGACCGTGGGCTTACCCAGGACCTTTCTCCCATTTTTACCATAAAGTAAAGAACAAACTGTTGAAAGATTTTCATGTGCTGTTGTGAAATACGTTACCTTCAGATCTGTGATGTCAGTTGCCTGGTTCTATTTGCACCGGTGTTGTGTTGGTGACCCAAGAGCCTGCTTCTCAATCCTTACCTAACGCAGCAGGCTGGGTTGGGTGAAACCCAACAGATGATTACACTGAGCTGAGACCTTCAGGGACACGACCCATGGCCACAACAAGGAGCCAGCAATCAGGAATCCAGCCATGAGCCCAACAGCTTCCCCATCACCATGTGGATCCCGTTACTTTTGTCTGACACTGCGCTCGTCCTTGGGTTTAATTAGCTCATGCCTGCAAGGTGGAAAAGGCAGCGAGGAATGCTTTCTGAAAACCTGTGAGCTGAGCAGGGATTTGTACCAGGCTTATTCCCCTTTTCCTTGCAGCTCTGCTAAATGCCTGTGGCACAGCCTCATGCAGCACCTGCTGCTTCTCCTGGGCATGGGGCCATGTGTGCAGCCAGTGCTGGGCAGGGAGCACAGCATCACTTGTCCTTGTGTTCCTGGGGATAGAGGGGACAGCCACCACGGCCACATCCTTGTCCCAAATGCAATAGCTGAGATGAGAAGTGTGCACAGCTGTTGTATCCAGTGTCACGTAGGAGAGTTGCCAGCTTGTGCATGGCATTTATTATTCTTTCTCTGGGCTTGATATCCTTCTCTTGACTTTCTCCTGAAGAGATCTGAAGAGATCTCAGCTTCTACGTTTTTTTTACCAAACTCAGAGTTTTAAACAACATGATACTCTTGCCTATTGCACCCAAGCAGGATCTATTCCATAGCCTCTCTCCTTGTTCACACTGTTCACTTGGGATAATGAAGATGATAGCCAAGGGTCAGAGCACGACCAAACACACTTCTCTGAGACACAAGGGCTGTCGCTGAGCAACAAGTTGCCCCGCAGGAGTCCTTCATCTCTCCAGCAATGTCGTTTTCCCATCACAGATAAAAGATTCTTGGGGTTCCTCAGGTGCTGCCATCAGCTTTGGTGGATGGCAAATTTTTCTTGCACTTCCCTTCTTTCTCTCAAACTGGTGCCTTTTAGCATTCTGAATTGAATACTTATGAGGCAAGGAGAAGTTAGAATCTGGAAGGAGGAACTGGGAAGCATTCCTGCAATGGCACTGGGATGGCATCACTGGGAGCCATGGAGGCCACAGGCAGAGCACCAAGCCTCCCTCAGGTCTGGCTTTAGGGGTGCATTGAAGAAAGTTTAGAAGCTTTAAGAAAAAAGTAGACAGCAAAGCATCAAGAGTACATGACTCTGCCTGTGCCCTGAGTTCAACCTGCTGTTACCAACTAGGAGCAAACAGGTTGGGTTCCTTCATTGCACACTCTCTGTCTTTTGTTTTGGGGCTGGCCAGGGAATATTTTCAGTGCAACTAAAACCACTGTAAATCCAAGCCCCAAAGGCAGCTTAGAAAGAAAGAAAGAGGAAAAAAAATAAATCCAATACCACCAGGAGACAGGGAGAAATCTTTTCCCAGGACAGAAATTCAAAATATATCAGATGAATTTATGAACTGGTGGTTAAATCGATGCTCACAGAGTCCAAAATACGCCATGAAACAAGCTGCAATGCATAAATGAGCTATGTTTTGGGGAGGATATTTTGCCCCCATTTGCTCTAGCATTGTTTCTAAAATTTCCCAAATCACATCCTGATCATTCTCTCTCCTCTCCCTGGCTTAAAAGCCTTGTTTTGGCTCTTGCTGCAAGGAATAATATAACGAAGAAGGGGAGGGAAAAAGAATCTCCATCAGCTGCTAAACATATAAACCTGCAGATTTATTTAGTAGTAATAATCCCTGAAGGAGAAACTTATTCAGTACTTCATCATCGGTGAAACTGCCCACATCTGTTCAGAGGCAGCAACAGGCGGTCAGCAGCGTGTGCCAGCAGCAGCACAGAGGAAACCAACCTGTTGTATTGCCCTCCTCCTGTTTGAGCCCTCTGTGCTCACCTGGATTCTCAGTGCTATTTATGGTGGTTTTTCTCCTTTGTGGAAATGCTGGTGACCTCTTTCCAGGTTCAGTCAGTGAGCTCCCCTTTGGGAAGTACCCCAGGGCAGAGCCAGAAGCTCTGGCAGAAGCCCTCTCCATGCCATGTGCCCCACTCAGGGGTTTGTTGCACTGTGCCATGCTTTTTGGGATCCGTGCAGGATGGGTTGCAATTTGCTGGGTTCCTGGCTGTCTTCATTACAAAAGTCTTCCATTACTGTTTACACTTGGTCAGTGATTTGGGAGTGCTGGGGAGGCAGAGCCCTTGGCTCCTCCCAGTTTGGAGGGAAGTGACCTTTTCTTGGGCATGAGCCACTTCCAGATTTCAAGAAGGGATGTGAATGAAACCGGACGAATGCAACTGGTGCACATACATAGAATGAGCTGTGGGCCATGGCTGCTGGGAGTGGGATGGGGGCTGCTGGCCTCTGGAGTTAGTGTTAATGAGAGGTCTGAATTGCTCAGGAGAATTAAGGAGTGACCTTACAGGAGAGAGTGTGGTTTGCAGAGCTGGACCTTCATCTCTTATCTCCACCTCCAAGAGCTGCAGAAGGAGACAGAGGTACTGGAGATGATGCACAGTCCCATGCAGGATGCACTGCCCTGAGCCACCCCAGGATTTGGTGCACTCCAGCTCTTCTCAACACATATCACTTCTTTCAGAGGGCTTCCCTGCCAAGCTGCCCATTGTGTTGCAAGGAGCAATCCTTCAGAGACAGCAGAAATGTGAGATATGGCACTGAGATTTGGTACAAGGAGGGCTCAATGGGGGGAGGGGAGGAAGGACGTGGCTTTGGACTGGGATCAAGCACTCACACATTTGCGTGTTCTTCACTCAGGTCTCAGATCAGACCCAGGAACCACAGAAGGGCTGGAGATGCTGGTTGTCCTGCAGCCACCAGTGCATCTCTGGCACCAGAAAAAGGCCAAGTTCAGCCTGTAAGCTGCAGCAAACCAACTCTGGAGCTCGGGAGCTGCTGCTTCACCTCTGCAGCTCGAGAGTGCTGTTCCCAGCTTCTGAGCAGATGGAGCCAAATCACGCCTGGTTTGCTCTTTGGTTTCCAAAGCTGTGGCTGTCACAGCCTTCTACGCTGCTACAGTGTTATCTAAAACAAGGGCCACGTCCAAATGATATGTGTTATCCTGCAGAGCTGAGTTAGGCTATTTCCAGTGCGTCATTCATGGTGATTTTGTTTCCTCTAAACTTTTAATTTCTTCATCAACACATGCAGAGAAATAGTTTAAAATTGCTCTAATCCCAATTGCATTCAAGCTGAGTTCCTTTTGGCTTGCAAACTAATTTTGTTTTCGTTGGAAAAATGGATCCTGTTTATTTAATTTTCCTCACTGAAAACAAAATATGTGGGTGGAGGAAATGGGACAGATTGGAAAATACTTTGACTGATAAAAACAATCATTTCGACATTATAGGCTTTTATATCTGCAACAGAAGCCATAAGAAAGTCATTACCGAAGAGTTACTGCAGATATCTGCAACTCCAAGCATAGGTGGAAGTGCTGATAAAATGCTGATACTCTGTGCTAGCTGCTGGAAGAGGGAGGCTACAGGCTGGATTTTAATAGGCACCAGGGAAACTGCAGGTTGATTAAATGGATGTGATGATATATGCTCAACAGCTGGTGGGAAAACATGCTTCACCCAACTGCAGAAAGTTTCACCCCAAACTCGAAAGTCCTGAAAAATATGAATCATAAAGAATAGAATTTTCATCTTCAGATTAAATATATATATATACACACACACACACACATATATATATACACTCTGCCCTATGTACAAGTTTTCAGTAAAAAAAAGAAAAAAATCAACTGACTTTTTTTTTGTAAAAACATTTTGGCCTTAGATGGTGGTGGCCTTAGATTTGATTCCTTTGCTATAGGTTTTGCTCAAAGGGCTGCATCCTACAGATGGCACCTGGGACTGCTGCTGGGATCTGCTGTGTGGTGCCAGCTCCCTGGCAAGGGCCTCATCGGAGGAGGCTTGGGGAGCCTCAGCTTGGGAAGAGATCCTGACTCTTCACATCCAAGCTGGGATGAGTTCCTCCTTCCTAACGACTTACCCACATCTCAGGTTCAGGGAATTCTTGTGTGAGTCATAGTCTGCCGAAGAGTTTTTCCTTCTCTCCCCAGATACTAATATTTTGAACAAGTCTCACTCTTTATTATCATGGAGATATAAGGGAAATATCCCACAAGGACAGGGGTAGGTCTGAACTGCATGTCAGAAACTTTGCTGTTAAGATTACATGTGATGTGTGACCAGACTGTTTGGATCTGTGGTCGGGCCCCAGAAGATGTGTGTGGTGACTGACCACATCCCCTCCGGAAGGGGAATGTTTGAGTTCATTGTGTCGGTGAAATGCCGGGGTTTGATCGTGGCGTGGATTTAGTGGAGGTGGGAGAGGGGAAAGGGGCTACCGGGGCCGCGCTCCGCCCCGCACACTCGGCCGCAGGGAGCAGCTCATTTGTCCAGGACGCACCGGACTCCGCCGTATGGTGGATGCATCATATTTCTGTCTGCGATTTCCTGCACGGAAAAATGAGAGCCAAGAGCAACTGCTCCTACCTCCCCTGGGGTGGTCCGAAGCTGGGGCTGAGGCTACAGATGTGCTCGCGCCTCCCCATCGCCGTCCCCTCCCAGATGGCAGAGCACCACGTTTCAGAGGCTGCTTGGCCACGTATCCACTTTCTTTGGAAATGTGTCAGGAGCAGTTTCTGGTTCATTTTTTATCTTAAGT